GTTTAAAGTGGCCCAAACTATATCAGAATGGCTACAAGTCGCTGCTGCTTAAAAACAATAATAATTTAAAAAAAAACAGAAATTAAGTAACTTCTGTATGCAAATTTACAGCAGTGGAAAGATTTCTTAAATGTGATGCTATGAGTAGTTTTAATACAGCAGCAATTTAGTTTCGTCCTGACTTTGCTAAAACTAGCTTTTAGTTTGTCAATCTATGTAATGAGCTGTGTTTTTTGTTAGTTTAGTTTTGTTGTATTTATTTTTTTTTTGTCATGCAATTCTTGTGTTTTGTGCCTTAAATCTTTTTCTTTAATTTGAGGTTATTCAATAAGCTATCTACAACAAGTAAGATATTATTTATTCACAATATTTCCATAGAAGCTCACTTGAAAATATTTGAACTACACCTTTTTTTCTTTAAATGTAGCTAAATTGATTTTTGAAGCTTTGAAATCTAAAACCAAATGAGCAGTTCTACATGGTTGTTTGATTTCTAGTGTTTAATCTAATTTATTATTTCGTTTTGATATTGCGTTATTGTCTGCCAAGATGTCTTCTTTTACAGAAGCACTGCTTTTCTAAACAAGCAGCCCTACTTGAGTTTCAGATCACAATCCTAAATGGTTCTTCTTAAGGCTGGATGTTGCCTGTTGAAAGCGTATTGTTTGCCCACTTCAGCTGATATGGCCTTGGAGCTGTAAATCACCAGTCACTACTTAGCTTCCTAACACTCCATTCAAGAGCTGGGCACAATAGATYCACAACACATTCATTCATCCACTCTCCTGCTCCCGCCTTCCTGCTATTCAACTTTGCTCTCCTCCTGCGTTCCCCCATTTTCTTTCTTTCTTTCCCTTCCCTGCTGCTATGCTGAGCTGTTTTCGCCCCCCTCTCCCTCTGCTTCCCCATCTTTTTCTTTGCTTTTACTTCCCCCATCAATTCACCCGCTCCGGTTCCTGACGTGGCTTTGTTCGTTGGAGGGGCCGACAGTTTCTCATGCACCTGCTTTGTTGTAGATATGTCAGAATGTGCACACACACAAACACACACACACACACATGCACAAAGTCGGCTCTAATTATTGTTTAGGTTTCTGCTCTGGCAGGAGAGATTCCATCACTTAAAAGTGACGTGTTGTTTTTGAAAAGAAGAAACAAAAATGCCGACACACACACACGCACAAAAAAAATAGATCAAAACTGCACCACAAAAGAGAAGCATTCCTACTTACTGGTCCTGACATTTTCAACAGTCTTTTCTTATTGGCCGTGGCACTTTAAGAGTATGCAGTTTCCCTTCCTGTCTGTTGGTTGTTAAAGCGCTGATAACCACATGCAAACTTGTACATGGGTGCACTCAAACGTGCGTGCTAAGAACTCCGGCACCGAGTGTCAGTCACAATTACCTCAAATTGATCGCTCTACATCCATGCAGCATGCAAGTGTAAGAAAGAAAGAGAGAGATTTAAAAAAATAAAGGAAACAGAAGGAAAGAGAGATGCCAAGCAGTGATTTATGACCTGAAAAGACAGATTAACTCCACTGGCTGCCTAACTGGCCCTGAAACAAGCTGAATTACAGCCCAAACTAGGAAGAGTGGAGAGGTAGAAAATAACAGAAGAATGAAAGTAAAAGGTCAGTGGTGTGGCAGGAGAGAAACAGAACAGACAACAACATAAAAGACAAGATTGGTATAAAGAAACTCAAAAGTGAAAAGGTCAGAGGTGAAGAGGATGACAGATTGAAGTCTGCAGGAGGAAGTTCAGATTGAGCCATCAGGATGTCCAAACTCTGGTAGACACATATGTTATATTCAGCCCTAAAGTTTGTGTGATGATCTGGTGAACTCTTTCAGATTCCATTTTCGTGGCGTGCTGTGGAAAAGCAGAACTCAGGTCAACTCTATTTTGCCTGCTTCATGGTGGGAGGTCAAAGGCCAACGTAGGCCGTGTAAGCAATTCACACGATTCATATGAAGCAACCCCCTGTGAGTTACACTGAACCAGCTGTGTGTTCAGGAAAGACGGGGATAGCACAATATTAGTTTTTTTTTTTCTGTCACATTATGTTGGGAGGTGAGGCTTGACTTTAGCTCTCAGCGCAAATTAGTTATGATAAAAGTAAAAATGAATTTTCAACTGAGCAGAATGAACATGGTCAGTTGTTGGACCTCTTTTCTGGATATGTTTTTTTTTAAATACTGACTTTCTGCTGCAATGTGCACCTACCTTTTTCAGTTTTTGTTCTCTGATTTGCTGTTGTTGTAAATCGTCTCTCCACCTGCTGGCACGACAGCTAGTTTAGTGGTTCTCTTAAAACTATGCTAACAGAGAAAAGATGAAAAGAACAAAAACCTTTTTCTTAAAACTATCCTCAGTAGTGTAGACCAGGCCTTAAGTTACCAAACTGCAAGAAAAAACAAGACCTGCAAGCCTTCACTATATCAGAAATCTTATAAAAACAACTTTTTATGTCACACTTTGGTGTGATGAAAGCAATACTTTGTTCTATAATGACTAAAAGATGAAAAGAGAAGATCTAAGAAATGAAATCTTTCTGTCAGAGAAGGAGGAGGAATTGGAGGAGTTAGACAAAGAGGCGAGGAGGGAAAACTTGAAGGTAAGCACACATGGAAGAAGCACTTCGCTGCCTGTGGGGAACTTCATTAAAGGGTAAATAGATTGTGCTTGTTTAGCAGCGTCTGCGTTAGCAGTTTTGGAAATAACTATACAGATTTTTTGCCTCTAGCCTTTTTATACATAAACACACACAATGTTCCTGCTGCCATGACTTGCCCAATGACTTCCTTAAAAGACCTACGAGTTACCTACAACTTAACATGTGCAAAATATATGATTTTATATGCATAAAGAGGTTAGAACCTGTAAAAAGTGATGCACCTGTTTACTGTGTAATTTTGGAACAATTTTAACATGTCTGAGTTCACATTAGGTCAAATGTTTTTTTTTTTTTTTTTTTCTCACAGGGTCATATCTTCATGTGTTTATGCAAGGGTTTTGTATTGTCCTAGGGAGAGATGAACTATCAACCATTTTAAATTGTGAAGGATTTGGGTCTTTTACTACCATTTTACATTTTCA